CAAAATTCACCCATGTCAAATAAGGAAATATTTGGAATCTTTGTGGAATTCCCATTCCAGAAATACTAATTTTAGAAATTTTCACCAATTGGTTACCATCTGTGTAAATGTACATGTTATTGTTCTTGTGATACACTTGTGGCAGAACATCTGATACCATCTACAGTATTGTAGTGTGTATAAGTTGACAGTAGATGTACATGTAGTATGAGATATACACTGGTTTAAACAAGATAAAGAGTTGACAGTTCTCACTATAATTGTTAAAAATTAATTAACGTAAATAGAAAATGCTGAAAATTTCAGTCAAATTGCCCCACTCTGAACCAAGATATTAGCTTTTGAATTTTAGGCTAACCTCGATCATCATTTCTAAAGTCGGTACAATAAAAAACAATCCATTTTTCAATTTAGTTAATTTTCAAAAAATGTATTTCAATTATATCACAGGCTAGCGATGACCTCGAGAGTTGATTATGGTCTGTATAAGTTATTTAATGTCGAATTAATAATTAAGATAACATTTCAGGCATACAGAAAGACCTACAATAGGCAGATTTAGCTCTTGCATAATTTATGCTTAAAAAAATAATGGCTGTGTTGAGATGATGACTAGTCTGGTCTATATATAGAATCTCTCTGATTACAGGACATGCTTTTAGTATACAATATCACTATAAGTCTCTGTGCTATCCATTCAACAGGTTGGGGGTGGGGGTGGGGTGGATCCAGGGTGCCATCTATCATTCTATGTTATTCAGGAGGCTGGGTGGGGTGATTTTCAGGGTGCACTCTGTCCACTGTGGGGCGTGGTATTCAGGATGCCATGCAAGGAAAAGCATTGAGACATTTGGATGAGGTGAAAAACTGAAGTCCCATCTGCCATCTATAAATGTAAAAGAAGACTTGACAGTAGGAATTTGAAATAAAGTATGTTAAAGATCCCTGGCAGAGTAGACTGTACCATTTCATTTCATTTAAAAAAAAAACAGCCAACAACACAGTCTTATATTATACTTCAGTGTAGGGATACATTTTACTCTGTTACCAGTACATGTATGGGGCCGGTTATGTGTAGGTGCTGTGCATGGGGCAGAGTATATGTAGGTGCTGTGTATGGGGGCAGGGTATACATAGGTGCTGTGTATAGGACAGGGTACATGTCTAGGTGCTGTGTATGAGGCTACAGGTATATGTAGGTGCTGTGTATGAGGAAGGGTGCATGTATGTTATTATTTCTAGATCACCTGATACCACTTCATATAACTAACAATCTTATAGACCACCTGATATCACTTCTTATAGCTAACAATCTCATAGACCACTTGATATCACTTCAGCTAACAATCTTATAGACCACCTGATACCACGTAAGACCACCTGATACCACGTCATGTTTATATAGAGTACATGTATAAGTAAAGTTAGATATTAGATATGTGTGGTTATATATTAGTATGAGAGAGAGAGAGTATTATTATACACCACTTGCTGTCTGTGAACCTGTATACCCATACCTGCAGTACATGTCTACATGTATATACCCTACCTGTACTATATGTAATCAGGTATTTAATAGAGTTGTAAGAACATGAGTCATAGATCTATAAATACACACCTGGTATACAGGTATACAGGCATATCTACACCTACTTACATCATCTCTATCTCTATCTCTGAGTCTTATAGGGGGTGGGGGGTGGATGGCCGAATGGTTAGCACGAGCGCGCTGTCATTGAGTCAACTGGCAGGGTTTCGATTCTCTGGTTGTACGTGACAAGGAGTAGGGTCGCCTGTCCAACCTCATGTGTTTTCTCCAGGTCCTCCGGTTTCCTCCCACTTTTAAAGACCCCCACACGCAAGCGAATTATTGAATTAAAAAAAAATTGAACCATATGTTAGTCCCTAAATGACCTAGTTTGTGTCAAGTGGAAGTTAAACCCCATCTCTCTCTCTCTCTCTCTCTCTCTCTCTCTCTCTCTCTCTCTCTTTCCATCTTGTACAGATAGTAGAGTAATCTGCAGGCAACAAACTAGACAAGACTACTGTAAATAAAGTATAACCATGTAATCCAGTTTCAGGGACTAACGCTTCCAACTCATTACAATAATTCATGATTTTTTTATTAATGTGTGCTCTAGTCTGAAATTCTTCTTTTTCTCGATCTCTGTATTAATTTTCAAGAAACATTTGCAAGTAAATAAGTTACAAATTATAAGTCTGAATCAATTTTAAGAAATGAAATGGGGTTTAACGTCTTACTGTTATGCTCGGACTGGGCTAATGAAGACGGGGAATCAATTTCAAGTGTGGTACATGTAGCTCAGTTTTCAAGGATGGCAGTTCTAAGTTTAAAAGAATGCTAAGAAGAGTGGCAAAATGCCATTCCTTAATGAACTGTGGGAAACACAGTCTAATGTAAAATGTATTTTGGTAGATTCACATTGGTAGAAAACATTATTCCATAAAATTCCGTGAACCAACAACAAAATTAATTGAGAAACACAGTGTAATTAATGTAGACAATAGTTTGGAAGGGTTACTGTACATCACATATAAATGTATTTTACTTTTTGTTTACATTACCTAATATTATATATAATTCATTGTCATGGTAATCTATCATTCTAAGAATGTATATATCCAAAATTATTAGCAAAACTGCACTACTTTGTTTCATGGTAAACGATAACAATATAAAAGGTATGCCGAAGCAAACTGATTTCAACACTGGTTTAATAACATTTTAACATTTTAAATGTACATGTATGGTATTTTCAATATTTTATATATACATGTATACATTATTAATATCTGAAGATGCCTATACTATAGAAGGCAGACAGCTACAGTAGCTTATATAATTTAATGTATGTCAGAATGAAGTAAAATGTAGAATTTTTTACCTGGACATATTTTTTATTTATTTATGCATTAAACATAGACGTACTTGTACTTTATCTACTTTAATACAATGTATATATAAATGAAATGAAATGAAATGGGGTTTAACGTCCTACTGTTCTACTCCTTTTGCCCGGGTAGCGGCACTATCGCCTACTCTTATATCGAATTCCAACTGCCAAGGGATCTTTTACGTGCATTCCAATGTTTACACGGGACCTCGGTTTTTCGTCTCATCCGAAGGACTAGACAGCTGTCCTTGTCAGGCCCTCCGTCCTGCATCACTGACAAGGGGACACCAAGTCAGAAAATCGGGATGAACTTTCTCGGCCAATGCAGGGATCAAACAATTTAATATATATATATTTTAATGTAAAAACTGTAGTTACCGGTAAACAAATTGATGTACATGTATGTAAACCTTTATCACAGTAGTTCTAGCAGGCGATACTGCTTTAAAAATATCAATAATTGTCGACCATCCGCCGATTAATAATCAATAATGTCAGGGACTTGTTTGTACTTACAGCTTGTTTTGAAAACCTTCATATATGTGTATACATGTAGAATTTATTTCATTGATTTGACAATAAATGATAGCATTCCATACCAAAACCAACATTTTGAAACTTAATCAACTTGGGTTGCGTTCACAGAGGTTAAATATAGGTGCTAATACATGTATGTGCATCACTACATGTAGTTCTACTAAAGTATTACCTGTTTAATACAAACAAAATAATTCAAGCCCTCCTATTCCAGACTCCAAGTTCACAAAGTATACTCAGACTTAAGTTAAGAATTTACTCAAAATTGTTGGCCTTATTTTAACTAAAATAACAAATTCTGTTGTTTTAATGTATCAAATACATCAATAAGAAACTATGTTCAATGTTTTGTGTTTCTGGATCAAAGATATTTCTCATAAACAGTGATTGAGTAAATTCATAAATTAAGTCTGAGAATACTTTGTGAACTCATGAGTCATATATAAATTTATGAAAATGACTTCCCCAACTGGTCTAGTCTACCCTACTCCCAAAAGAGGCCGACAATGGAGAAGATACAACATTCCATGTTTCTAGTGATCTGCCCCTCTCTAGATAATATTTATGACTATAAAGAATGTTTAAGAAGTTATAAATAGCCATGACCTTGATAGTTGACTATTGATGAAGTAGACTAGGTATTGTTGTTTACTTTCTATATGGTTGATATTCATGGTATGTAGGATATAGAAACTATACAAATAAACAAGCCCAACATACCACAATAAATGGCTATAACATAGCAGAATAAACGGCCCCAACATACAAGAAGAAATGGTCCCAACATACCAGAATAATCGGCCCCAACATACCACAATAAATGGCCCCAACATACCACAATAAATGGCCTCTATATACATGTACCAGAATAAATGGCCCCAACATACCAGAAAAAACGGCTAAACGGCCCCAACATACCAGAATAAATGGCTGCAACATACTAGAATAAACCTTATAAAGCCCCAATACAGCAGAATAAATGGCCCCATCATAGCAGAATAAACCTTAAAGCAACATACCACAATAAACCGCCCCAACATATCAGAATAAACGTTTATGCGGTGTATTTCTCTTCTCCATTTCTATTTGTTTCTTTTTGGTTTGGTTCTGCTGCACTTTCTATTCAAACTTGAATCCAGAAATTGAAGGCTTGTTTTAGTTAAACATTATGCAAGAGCTATATATGCCTATTTCAGGTCTTTCTTTAGGCTTGAAATGTTATATAAATTATTAATTGACATTGACAAGAACATAATCAATTCTCAATGCCATCGCATAGTCTAGATTTTCAATAGATTTAAATGCGTTAAGATAAAAATGGATAATCGAGTCTTTGTTTATCATCATAACAAAGGTAGCAATGACAATCAAGCCTACACTATTCTTCTAACAACGATAACAAGGCTCAGAGCGAATTAATTTGACTGAAATTTTTTAACATATCTCCTTTTCATTATCTAGTTTTAATTATTAAAGCGAGAACTCTCAGCTCTTTATCCAAATCTTACATAATGTCCCTTTAATGTTATTATTGTTGATATTTTACAGGAGATAGCCAGTAGAGCATTAAAATTATGTAATAATAGAAGTGTTGAAACTGCTGAGGCGGTGATGTCCAGATTAAAGAAACATGTTGAAGGCAGGAATGGGAATAGTAAAATTTCATCAGGTAGGTCAGTCATTCTACTCTCCTTGATTATTAAACACAGAGCCACAGTTGAGGCTCCAGTGTTTTATTCCCCCATAGCTCATCTTCATTAACCAAGTTAGTGCTGCATGACGCTCATCTTCATTAGCCAGTTTGGTGCTGCATGGCGTATGCTCATCTTCATTAGCCAGGTTTGTGCTGCAAAAAAGAGTGTCAAACCACATTTTATTTCATACTTGATGGAACAAGATTACTGAGTTTGATAGTTTGCATCTATTATAGTCCAGAACAGTAGGATGTTAAACCCCATTTCATTTCTGTTATTTTCCGGAACAGTAGGACGTTAAACCCCATTTCTATTATATTCCTGAACAGTAGGCTGTTAAACTCATTTTTCCAGGTCCTCCAGTTCCCTCCCATTGCTAAAGACCCCTACACACTAGCAAATTATTGAAATAAAACAGAACCGTATGTTAGTCCCAAAATGACCTAGTTTGTGTGTAGTGGATTTCTATTGTGGGTTTTTCCGGGTCCTCCAGTTTCCTCCCATTGCTAAAGACCCCTACGCACTAGCAAATTATTGAAATAAAACAGAACCATATGTTAGACCCAAAATGACCTAGTTTGTGTCGAGTGGATGTTAAACCCCATTTCTCTTTGCTCTTTCTTTAAATGCTCAGCATTGACATTGGGGACAATGGTAGACTCTGAGGTTACATGTAATTATGTGACATTGGGGATGACATTGGGCTCTGAAATCATGTGAAACTGAAGGTAATGAGAGGTTCTGAAGCAACAATCGTGTAAACCCACACATAGCACAGTTTTAACAAATCAAATAAATTTACACTTTTCTTCTTTTTATTTTCCAGCTCTTGGACAATATCCAAAGGTGAATCGTAAACAAAGTTTTGAAAGTAAATATGGTCCAAGTAGTCCTGCTGCATCAGATACTAACAGTGTACGTTCAGATAGTCCCGGACTTAACACACATCCTCAGCGTCATCTCATTATAGAGAACCTCAAACCAATGGCTAACGGACACCAGACTCCTCCTCCTTTACCGCCTAGAGTGCCAATAGCACCACCATTAACGCCACCTAGAGGACAGACACCGCCACCAGGTGACCTTCTTCAGGTTCCTTTTCAAGGCCAGATAAATAGTGGCATTCAATCAGCATCTCAACCAGCCGTTATTCCTGCTGGTCACGTTCAACATATGATAAAGCTCATGTCTCCGACAGGCGTACCGAGAGAGAACACAGCAGCCAATCAACAGGCTTTATTCCGCTCTCATTTTGTTCAACAACAATCTCCATCTCCGACCCCAAGTCCTAACGGCAATGCTTCCATAATTCCTCAACAAAGTATGAATCCGGTGACTTCATTGAGTCGATCAGTTTACGGGCATAATGGACAGTCTCGCCCCCTGACTCATCAGTTACAGAGAGGGACTCTCACTCATAATGGTACAACCAATACCATATCACAGTCATCGGGCGTCACTGCACCACGCGTGACAATAAAAATGGCACACGCTCAGAATCAATTCAGTCAAGCTCCATCAAGACAACCTCCAAATGTAGTTCATATTCCCGGTAATGGTCACCATGAACATTCTCATTTGATAACATCACAAGTTGCTGCGGAGTATGACATCCATGGCAACATGCAGAACAAGATTCCCACTTCCAATGACGGAAAGATTCAACTTAATTTACCTAAACAAGTGACAGTGGCTCCTTCTCCTGTTCCGGCCGCAGTTCGGGCCTGGGGAACCAGTCACGCACCGATTATCATGCACTCTGTAAAAAGTAAAGAAGTTCAGAAACCTGTCCCTCAAACAGCAACGGTACCAACTGTGCCCCCTGCAAACAATCCAGCTTCTTCTACACCCAACTACATATCTTCAGTTCAGACTCAAGTTAATGGAAACTCTGTCGCTCAAAATATGACGGCACAACAAGTCAACAATAATAATAATAATAACTTACATAATGTCCAGATTCATTTTAAACGACAAAATGGTCTGAACATGTTGACGCCAGAACAGTTAGCGGCCATACAATCGCAACAAACTCAAATACAGATCCATATTCAAAATCAAGCTGCAGGAGTCCATAATAATCCACAAAACCACATACAGAGTGTTCAGATACAGAACATGCAGCAAGGTCTACAACCTAATTATGATTTTTATGGACCAAGATCCTGGCCCGACACACCTGGTTCAACACCACGATCTGATTCTCCCGTATCACGGGCCACGAATCAATCTCCGCTCTCTGTGTTATCTACAACTTCATCTCCGTCAACTAATTCTGATATACCCGACAAACCCCCTCCTCCTTACCCTGGCAGATCGTATGCTACTTATGGACATTTACAAGGTCAAGGTCAACCACCGTTACCTCCACGAGTGCCTTTACAACCACATGGTATGAAGCCGGCCCCTCAACTTCAGTCATCTTACCCTAATCCCCATCACATGATTACCATCCCGCCCGGACAGATGTCATCTGTTCACACCAATCAATCTAATGCTCAACAACCCTCCACAATAGTTCATCCCAATGCAATGTCTAATCATCAGTGGTTGGAGAACGGTTCGTCGGAAAAACCCCCTCCACTCCCGCCTCCGCCCCAATCTCGGAATCCTCCGCAAAATAGACTCAAAAACAATCAAAATAACTGTAATAACTGTCAACATTCCTTAGAACAAGGTGACGACACTGACACCGATACAGTGTCGTCTGACACGTCATGTCAAGAGACTCATCGTTGTATGTCGCCGATTCCAGAAAGACGTCCGGAAGCGCGAGAACGAGATCAGTTACGACGTGATACAAAAGTTCGTAATTATTCTCCGCAAGCTTTCAAATTTTTCATGGAGCAGCATGTGGAAAATGTGTTAAAATCTCACGACCAACGTTTGCATCGCAGATATCAACTAGAAAACGAGATGACAAAGGTTGGACTTTCAGAAGAAGCTGCGACTCAGATGCGTCGCATGTTGCATCAAAAAGAATCAAATTATATCCGCTTAAAGCGTGCAAAAATGGACAAATTAATGTTCGATAAAATAACGACTTTAGGGGTGGGGGCATTTGGTGAAGTGACTTTAGTTTGTAAACGCGACCCGAAAACTCTGTATGCTATGAAAACACTGCGTAAAAATGATGTGATAAAACGCAATCAAGTGGCTCATGTGAAAGCGGAAAGAGATATTTTAGCGGAAGCAGACAATGAATGGGTAGTAAAATTATACTATTCATTTCAAGATCGTGATAACTTATATTTCGTAATGGATTATGTACCAGGCGGTGATTTGATGGGTCTTTTAATTAAAATGGAGATCTTGGAAGAAAGCCTGGCAAGGTTTTATATAGCTGAATTAGTTCTGGCTATTGAAAGTGTTCATAAAATGGGATTTATACATCGTGATATTAAACCAGATAATATTCTAATCGACCGGGATGGGCATATTAAACTCACAGATTTTGGATTATGTACAGGATTTCGCTGGACCCATAATTCGAAATATTATCAAAAAGGTAGGTCATTTATTCACTTTTTAATTTGAACAGGCTTGGGATATAGAATCAATCTGACTAAAACACAGATCCTAATTCGTTTCGTTTTATAGTTCAAAATTTCATTTTACTTGTCTTTACTACCCGGTACCAGCGTTCTGGTTAGCCAATGAAACTGTCTGTTACGGTGAGTTCTTGGCGTGCTATGCACGTAACTGTTGGTAAACCACTAGAAACGTCAACGCTGATTGATTAATCAATGTCTGACGTCATAGGGTCAAAAGCCGGTTTTACGACCCCTGATGCGACCTTCCACTACAACCAGTCACATTTGCATGTTTTGTAGGCCATCGAAAGTATAAAAAAACGAAATGAAATATAGATCTGTATTTTAATCAGATTGGATAGAATAAGGTACATGTATTTCAAATATTTTCACCGAAAATCACTTAAAATTGATTTATGAATGGCGATGATATTACAGTACATGTATATCTTTGATATACCGGTAATTGACTTAATACATGTAATATGAGATATGCTAGGGCGGCAGGTGGGTGATGGCCGAATGGTTAACAGTCTGGATCATAAGGTCTGTCATTGAATCAGGTAGGGTCGTCTGTCCAAACTCGTGGTTTTTCTCAAGTCCTCCTGTTTTTTCCCAGTTCTAAAGACCCACTACGCACAAGTGAGTTATTGAAATAAAATTGAACCATGTTCCGAAATGACCAAGTGGTCATTAAATTAAACCCCATTTCACCCCTCTCTATCATGTAAGCAAAATACATGTATGGTTGAGATTTTGAATTGGATGGCAGTATAACACCATGTTTCGAGCGAGGGAGAGTCAGAGAGAGAGAGGATTTTGTCGAATAAGAACATCCATCGCTTTTCTGTAGCAGACCCTCCGTACCGAACGCCCAGTCGCCTTTCTATATAGCAGACACTCCCTACTGCACCATTGATAAGCAGGGAGAGAGAGGGGGGGGGGGTTAACGTCCACTCGAAACAAACTAGGTCATTTCCGGACTAACATATGGTTCAATTTAATTTCAATAATTCGCTTGCGCGTAAGTGTCTTTTATCAATAGAAGGAAACCGGAGAACCCGATGAAAATACGGAGAAAATCCACGAGGATGGACAGGTGACCCTACTTCTTGTCAGTACAACCGGGGAATCAAAACCACACCAGTTGACTCAATGACAGCCCTCCTGATGTGCACGAGCTAATAATTCGGCCATCCAACCCCCTATTTCGTTAAAGCCAATTGTTATTACATGTAGCTACATATATGTATTAAACCATGCATTTTAAACAGACTATCCTTCATATGAAAATATAAGTAGAAATTAAGTGTGTGACTGTAAATTAAATTGAGCAAGGGATGTATTGTATCTCAACCCTTAATGTCAGAAGTTTTAATAACTTGTTTGACAAGACGGATGAATGTACATGGTGTGTGTTGGCAAGACAGATGAATGTACATGGTGTGTGTTGGCAATACAGATGAATGTACATGGTGTGTGTTGGCAAGACAGATGCTTGTAGCACACTCTATGACGTACATGTACACCTGTCTTCAGGAACCCAGTGAAAAGTAGGATGTTAAACCCCATTTCATTTCATTTGGGTTGCCTGCAGTCCAAGATCCCGTGACAGTTGGAATACGATATAAGAGTAGGCCGTAGTGCAGCTGTCCGGGCAAAATTTCCCTCATAGCACACTATACCCGTCTTCATTAGCCCAGTTCGGAGCAGAACAGTAAGACGTTAAACCCCATTTCATTTCATTTCGTTTCCATTTGTGTACTCTCTCATGCTTTATTTGTAGTACCATCGCTACATGTACATGATGTATCTGTAATTGATTGGTGCAGGACAGAGGGTCTGGCACAGGGACAATGTATAGTCTTTTGGATGGGCCACATGGGCGTGCACGTAAAAGAACGGTTAGCAGTTGGAATTTGATATTAGAGCCTAGTCGTAGTGCCACTGCCCAGGCAAAGAAAATTTCTCGTAGCACACTGGATGGCGTAGGCAGGCCTATCTTCATTAGGCCAGTCAGAGCAGAATACTAGAACATTCAACCCAATTTCATTTCATTTGTTTAAAAGTACATGTACATGTACATGTATGTTAACTAATGGTGATTTGACCCAAGAACCCCTTTTTACAATTAAAAGATAGGAACCCTAGAAAAGTTTGTAAAAGATGGGGAGGGGAAGGGGGTAAGACAAGGTGGGTGGGGGGTTAGGTTACATGTAAGTGCATGAGTTTCAGTTTTAGGCTACTGCATTGAAATAGTTGTTTTTGTGCCGCGTTACATGATGCTGGAGAGGGGTTGGATGACTGAATGGTTAGCCGCGTGCACGCTGTATCATAAGATCTATCATTGAGTCAGCTGGCGTGGTTTTAATTCTGCGGTTGTACATGTATGTGACAAGGAGTAGGGTTGCTCTCTAACCTAATGGATTTTCTCCCGGTCCTCAAGTTTCCTCCCACTGCTCAAGACCCCAACACGCAAGCAAATTATTGAAATAAAATCAAACATTGTGTTAGTTCCGAAATGACCTAGTTTGTGTCGAGTGGACATTAAACCCTATCTCTATCTCACAAGATGCTGGACACAATTTTATTTCTTACTTACGGACATTATTTATCACATTGTTGTTTTCCACTTTCTCTGTCTTTCTTGCATTTATTTATTTTATAAATTAGTGAAAATTGGGATCTGTACTCACCATATTCTTATATTTTCAGACGGAAGTCATGCTCGACAAGATTCAATGGAGGTCAGTAGCTGTAATTTAGATGAACATTGTCGCTGTGAAATTCTCAAACCTTTAGAACGTCGTCGAAACCGAGAACGGCAAAGATGTCTGGCTCACTCATTAGTTGGTACACCCAATTATATCGCACCGGAGGTCCTCTTGCGACAAGGTAAAGTTGAATCAATTAGATTTATATTATTAAATTATGTGTAGCAGGTGGTTGGAGGACTGCACTACACACAACAATAAACAACAAATATCAAATCTCAAGTAAATGTATCTGGGGGTGCCAGCTGTTCAGTCCTGGGCCTGTAATAATACAGGCTTCACTCAAAATAAAAAAAGTATGATTTAGTGGGATTATAAATCTCTCTCTCTCTCTCTCTCTCTCTCTCAATCAATATTAATATTTATAATTTCAGGTTATTCTTCAGTTTGTGACTGGTGGAGCGTTGGTGTGATATTATTTGAAATGTTAGTCGGACATCCACCATTTTATGCTCATACACCTATAGAAACACAACAAAAGGTATGTCCATTGTTTATACACCTGATTCCCCGCTTGTACGTGACAAGGAGTAGGGCCGCCTATCCAACCTTGTGGGTTTTCTCCGGTTTCCTCCCACTGCTAAAGATCCCTATGCTGCTCAAGCAATTTATTGAAATAAAATGGAACCATATGTTAGTCCCAAAATGACCTGGTTTGTGTCAGTGGACGTTAAACGCCATTTCTCTCTCTTTCTGTTTATACACCTATATGTATTAATATCAGGTTTATAATAAACATCAGAAAATAGTAGTAGACCAATTCTATTGGGTAATAATCTATTTATCTCATTCAAGGAGAACTGGGATTTTTCAAGCCCCGTTCTGACTATTTCCAGGGTCGTTCCTTTGGCAGACAAGAAAATTTTGTCTAGTCACTCAGATGAGATAGAAAAAATGCAATCAACCGATCACATATTAGCATTCATATAAAAGAACCTTTGGCAATTGGCAATCAATAAAGAATAGATTATAACTGCACATGTGCGTGGAAACAAACCTATATATCAGTCTCAAAATCACCAAGGTATTGTGTTCACGTTGACGATACGTTAAGCCCCAAGCCCCCTTCCTTTTCTTGCTTGTGGATTATTTTCAAGGGTTTACTGTAATAATTGCTTATCACATTCAAAAGAGCCAAGGTCGAGTGTTCGATCCCTGCATCGACTGAGAAAGTTCAGCCAGATTTTCTGGTGTGGTTCCCCCTTATCAGTGTTGCAAGAAGGAGGGCCTGACAAGGACAACTGTCTAGTTGTTTGGATGGCATGGAAAATCGAGGTCCCGTGCATGCACGTAAAAGATCCCTTGACAGGCTGTAGTGCCGCTGTCCAAGCAAATTTCCCTCATAGCACACTGTATGGTGTATGCCCGTCTACATTAACCCAGTTCGGAGCAGAAGGACGTTAAACTCAATTTCATTTCATTTCAATTATTTCACGAACATGCCCACGATTACACGTGTCAAATTTCAATTCCTAAACATAATGATTCTGATAAAAAGAAGTCAAATTGTATTTTCTGAAAAAAAATATTCTAATTTTTGATTGTAGGTTATCAACTGGAAGAGTACATTAAAGATACCATCAGAGTCCAAACTGTCGCAAGATTCAAAAGATCTAATCTTAAGATTACTCTGTGGGGCCGAGGAACGTCTGGGTGTCAGTGGGGCATCAGAAGTCAAAAATCATAAATTCTTCGCTTCGATCAACATGGATGGATTGAGAAAACAAATAGCACCTTTTGTTCCAAAGATTCGATACGCTACGGACACGTCCAACTTCGATCCAGTGGATCCGGATAAATTACGGAACAGCGACTCAGAAGATTTGATGAGAAGACTTGATTCCAAAATGGAAAATGGCAAACATCCCGAACATGCTTTCTTTGAATTCACATTTCGACGATTTTTTGATGATGCTGGCCATCCGTGTCCCCTCCCAGACCCTAACTCCCCGGTTTATGTTTAAAATTGTTAAGTTTTTTTCAGTTGTTAAGAAACTATGCCAGCCTATTTCCAAATTCACAACAAATTGTTTCAGAAGCCAATTGCTGGATTTCAAAAGCCAACAAACTGTTGCCGAAGTCAAATTTATTTTGGAAGTTTTTTGGAAGTTGTATTAGGTAACAAGGCTTAAATTTGTTGTTTTTGTTGAAACTGCTTCAGATTTTAAATTAAAGAAACTGAGTCTTTTAAAATTGAAATGATTTGCAAATTTTAGAACAAAAAGTGCTGTTTTTTTTATTTATTTTTTATTTTTTTAAAAAAAACCAGGGTGGGGGATGGGGACAAAAAGTCCTAGTTGGATTCCACATTTTGTAAAATCTTAAACGAGGAAAACTCTTAAAAGAGAAAAACAAAAGAAATACAAGAGTCCGTGAAGGACAAGAGAAACTAAAAACCAAGAGCCTCTTGAATGAATTGTATCCTAATTTTGGAAACAAGATTTGGACTACGAATTTATTTGGGGCTTTTTTCGACGTTAATCTAACGAATCCGACACATTTTAACCAATATTATGATGTGATTTAGCAGAGCTGATAACGATATGAAGTAATGGTGTATATACCTTGGCGCATTCATATACCCACCCTGACGGATAAAAATGTTAAATACAACATGGAGAATGAAACAAAATAAGATTTGATAACAAAATGTTAAATGGGAATTCAACTGGTCGACTTTCAATAATACAGATGTCCAGATCATACTTTTATTTTATTGTCCATCAAATGGAATAAAAAACTGAGGGTAGTGTTGAATCAGAAATAAAGTTGTTTATGGCAGAAACAAGCTAAAACCATATGTCAGTCTCAAAAAATGTAATAAGTACCATTTTCATACTATGATAGTAGAGTAGGCTACTAAAACCTTTTGGTTACTTTTTTTCTAAATTGTCACAGTATAAGAAAATCTTATATCTAAATTTATTCATATTTCAAACTTAGAATCATAATTTAAGAATTATGCAAATAAAACATTAAGATTATGTTGGCCTACAGAATTTATATTATTTTTTATTGAAGAATAAAAATAATAAAAGTATGAAATATAGCAACTGATTGCACACTACCCTATAAGAGATATTCATTGTTTTGTTAATGACCTATCATTGTAGTTTAAGTTAAGTTGACAGATAATTCTGGTCCTGTTTTATTCAGTCTTGAATTAAATGATGATTAGAATTCCTTTCTATAGGCCTATAAGGCAGGTCCAGAATCCTCTGTTTTTGTGTAATTATGTTTGTAAAGTATATATATATTCTGCTTATATAGAGGCTTAATCAGCCATGCTGATGTCGGCTATAAATGCATGACACCTGCCTGGATGCTTGTATGTAGTACTGTAATAATGTAAATATATAAATATTCTGTCAAGCTGCAGTAGATTGTTTTTATAGAAAGTTTCAATGTGTACAGAACTACTGTGTATTATTACCAGGCTATATGAATATTCTGTGTTCAAAAAGTGTTCATATGTACATAAAGAAAAACATCTCCCCAGTCTTTTGTACATTAGTCAGCCAGAATATATGTTAAAGGGAGATTACCATGTATATTGAGCTATGTAAGGGAGGTAATCCTGTATAGATTGTATAGTAAGAGAGATATGAAAGAGAACTGTACGAGATGATAACAAGGTAATATTCTATAAAATAAAACAAACTGTTGTGATATTATCATATCCTATATTCTTTTATACTTTTGTCCCCCTCCCCCTCCCCTTGTCAGTGGGAATAGGGATGTTTTCCCCTTTGTCAGTAGCAATATTTCCATCTCCCTTTTAGTGCCAATATTTCCCTAATTGATGTCTCCCTTCATTAGCATGGATGGTTTATAAAATTAAAACCGTATGCCCAACTTCATTTCATTGGTCCACCAATTCCAGTAGTCTCTAATCGCGTTTACTTTTGAAGACCTGGATCTTCTAACAACCGGCATTCCTTCATAAGTTTGGGGGGGGGGGGGGTTGGATGGCCGAATGGTTAGCACGCGCGCTGTATCATACGATCTGTCATTGAGTCAACTGCGGGGTTTCGATTCCCCAGTTGTACGTGACAAGGAGTAGGGTCGCCTGTCCAACCTCGTGGGTTTTCTCGGGTCCTTCGGTTTCCTCCCACTGCTAAAGACCCCTTACGCGCAAGCGAATTATTGAAACCCAGCAACGAAATCTCGGAGCTTGCCATGTAGAGCCTCTGCAAGTAAACTTGGATACCTTGACGGCCGCATACGCGTTTTCCTGCTTTTCCAGCCCGTGGATACAGCAACTTCAGTGTGGTCTAATATAGCCTAACTTAGGTTGCTAACCTGAACTACAAACAACCAATCAATCGTTTAGTTCATGGAGCCGATTGGAGAGGAAGTTTGGAAAATTTAACCGCCGCAGATGCGTTTTTCCGCTATTTAAGCTCGTGAGTCAAGCAACTAGATTCAATTAAAAGAAAAGTAAAATTAGTGTGTTATTAGACTTTGGGCACTAAATTTTGCCAACTAGATGATAAACAGAAAAGTAAAATTAGTGTTTTACTAGACTTCGCGCACTTTATTTTGCCAACTAGATTATGACATAATTTTCCCCACATTAACCCCCCCCCCCCCCCTAATTTGTTGTCTCCTACAGTCATCAAAATAACGTCGAACATTGTACCTAAATGAGCAGGAATATCCCAGAGCTTTTGATTTTATAAATTCTCGGCTAATCACCCGGACCTCACGCCAAACTTTGATGTTATCTCCACATAACTGGACCATTCCTAGCCCCTTCGCTGCTCAAATTCCCAAACATGCCCCAGCTCCTGTTGCTATAACATTATATTGAATAACATGGCAGAGAAAAATAATAATCAGGGTTTGACGTCCTACTTAAAGTCTATTCATACTACACCCGTATCGATAAACGTATCCCCATCCGTATCCGCACCCGCATCCATATCCGCGTTTTGCCGTTCAAATAGAAAACGCGAAAACGTCCGGCTTTCAAGGCTGAATTGTCTCTCAGAGATTGAGTTTATATTTGGGGAGATGATGTAATAAGGGGAAAGTACTCGCTGATTGGCTAAAGCTCGGCTCACTAGCCGAAATGCCGGACGCACTTTACAAAAATACGCTCTAGGAGCAATCAATCCGGCTTAACGGACGCAGTTGTCTAAAAATGACTAAAGTATACCAGTACGTATTCACGCACGTATTTACAGATACGGATACGGATGTAGTATGAACGGACCTTTATCTGTACCAATCGGGATGATAAGAACGTGCATACGGCGTGCAGTTTTCAATGGAGGGATGTTTGCTCAGACAGAGGTGGTTTGTGTCGACTCTAACTGTCGATGGATCTTTAACGAGTGACCATTACTATATACGGAACCTCTGTGCTTCATCCTATGCGATTGTCCTGCAAACCAGACTGACAAATCCTGAGAAACATCCGTAGTTTCCCGGAACATACCGAGTCAGCGTCCGTAGCGTCCCGGAACATATCAAATCGGCGTCCGTAGCTTTCCGGAACATAATTGTTAAGAAGAAACCATGTGACTATGGAAGACAAGTTTATTTGGCTGGACAGAAATGATGAATATGATACAGTAGGAATGTGATGACATAACGAACAGATGACATAACTAAAAACAATAAAACAATGACGTCAACAAAATCACAAATATTTGATAAAAAGAAATATGGAGACTCGATGCCGCCAATTCGATTTGTTCGTGTGTGGGTATTCCACCATTCTCGTCCGAGCCGTCGCCACAATTGTCATATTCATCTTTCAGTAAACTCTTATCAATACAACCGCCATTAGCACATTCAGTCTGGTTACTGTTACACGTACCTGTAATAATAATAATAATAATAATAATGATGATGATGATGATGATGATGATAAAGACGACGACGATACGATTGCACCAACCAGGTAAATGGATACAGACATATGCCATACAGTGTGCTACCATACAGTGTGCTACGCAGAACAATGCTATACAGTGTGCTACCATACAGCGTGCTACGATGTATAATGCCAAACAGTGTGCTACCATACACATACAGTGTGCTACGCGGAACAATGTCATACAGTCTGTTATGCGGAATAATACCACACAGTGTACTACGCGGAACAAATATGCCATACAGTGTGCTACGCGGAACAATGCCATACATAGTGCTACGCGGAACACATTTTTTCAACGACGTCGACTTCTTGTAGGCCTAGCTTGCAAATGTGTACTCTGGACCACAGTTTTCGTCCCTGGGAAACCCCGAAGGGAAATCCTCGGAAACTTTCTCGGCTAATACCGGGATCGAACCCCGGTCATACCCGAATATATGGATCTTTGAAGAGAATTAGCGTCGTCTCGATAACAACAGCTATTTTTCTTTTAATATACTTAATGTCGATTGCTTACCATAATTTGTATTGGTAACTATAAAATTAAAATAACCATAAAATTGATTAGGATCAACTTTATAAAGTGTAATGATCATATACTGGGATTTGAAATTTAATATAGGTATTCTGTCATCACAAACGGCATTGCTGGCTGAAAAACAAAATAAAACATTTCTCACCGTGAAATAAACGTTTTTCTGCCCTATTTAACGGTTATCTCCCTTCCTACATGTGATAGAAATGAAATGGGGTTAACGTCCCACTCTTCCAGTGGGAGGAAACTGAAACCGGAGGACCCGGAGTAAACCCACGAGGTTGGACAGGAAACCCTACTCCTTGTCACGTACAACCGGGGATTCGAAACCACGCCAATTGACTCAATGACAGGCCTTATGATACAGCACACTCGTGCTAACCATTCGGCCACCCAACTCCCCTAGAATGGTCAACAAATATATATGTTTATTACGACTGGAAGCGAATAAATAAATGAAGTGGGGTTTAACATCCTACTATTCTGTTCCTTTACTGGGCTAATGAAGACGGGAATACGCCAGACAGTGTGCTATGAAAGAAAATTTTGCCCGGGCAGAGGCACTATGGCCTACTATTATATCTAATTCCAACTGCCAAGGGATCCTTAATGTGCAAGCCGATGCATACACGGGACCTCGGGTTTTCGTCCCATCCGAACGACTAGATAGCTATCCTGCACTACTGACAAGGGTAAACCACACGACTGGAAACACTTCTCTTAATCAGTCGGGTAAGAGGCATCACTGGAGAAAAATTAACATTTTAAAAAAACCAAAATAAAAATTTTCTTGTCATAGTTTACGATTACTCTCTAAAAACTAGAGGCGAGCCCTCTAAAAGCTGGAGATATGCCCCATAAAAGCTATAGACGAGCCCTTTAATAGCTGAAGTGAGCCCTCTAAAAGCAGGAGGCGAACCCTCTAAAAGCTGGAGGCGAGTCCTCTAAAAACTGGAGACGAGCCCTCTAAAAGAATGACTTAGAGTCTGTAAACTGATTTGGAGCTAAAGAAGTAGTACCATTTTGGGGTCTAGCAGTGCATGGGCGGAAGCCCGAGATTGGAAAGGTGGCCAACCCCTTGTTCATAACAAGCTTGACATTCATTCCACTTCACTTCCCCCAATTCCAAACATATGATAAAAAGGCAGGCGTAAGACCAGCTCGACTAACCCCACCCAATCGTATAATTAATTTGAAAGTTTAACTTACACTGTAATTCATGGTTGTCGTAATAAAAGAAGTTAACAGAGCCGACATCACAAGGTAGATTAAGATCTATAACATTAACTTTAAATCCTCTGTTAGATAGGGGTGTATAATGTTCCGCTGTATGTAGAGTAACTTCACAGTCAGCACGTATACTTCCTGAGTTACCTTCCTCTAGACGTATTACAGTAGAATCTCGTATAACAACAGGTTTACCACAATTCACATTCATGTCACCTGCTCAAATATAGATTTCAAAAATCATCAAAGGCATTGGCATTCTGAACATCAGAGCCACGCTACAAAAAAGCCAGCTACCATTTTTACGTACGAGGCATTGGTCGTCATATCTGAATTTTCACGGCTTCATCCACGCTACATTATTTAACATTTGAATAAGAAAATAAAAATAAAAATAAAAATATCAATGGTAGACAATCTCATATGTTGGATTTTATCGGATAGAAAAGAGAAAAATCAAAATATAGTATCCAACACTTGGTGGCAACTTGTTTATCGCTTAGTCAAAGGATGCGAAATGTTTATCCTTTATTTGGGGGGATGACCGAATGGTTAGCACGTGCGCGCTGTATTATAAGGTCTGTCATTAAGTCAGTTGGCGTGGTTTCGATTCCCCGGTCGCCTTTACAACCTCGTGCGTTTTTTCCGGATCCTCCCGTTTCCTCCCACAGCTAAAGAGCCCTATGCGCGCAAGCTAATTATTGAAATAAAATTGAACATATGTTAGTCCCAAAATGACCCAGTTTGTGTCTAGTGGACGTTTAACCCCACCCCTCTCTAGCTTTCTCTCTCTCTCTCTCTCTCTCTCTCACTCTCTTTTTGACTGATATTCCTTTTAGTGACTCAACTAGTTTATTTGTCTGCATGGAATTGAACAACTCTGCTTAGTTTGTAGACAGATTCAAGTAATATACTGGTCTAGTTCGGCTTTTGTTTACACGTAAACACAGTGTTAATTTATTCACTTCCGCTTAAACACTTATTCTATATGTCTAAATAGAATCCAGAGACAAATGTAGCCATATCTCATAGCTTTCGGTGCCCATTTATGTACTTTAAACAATATCCGTTAAATAAAAATATATAAAATTCGAGACTTACGTATTTCAACATATGCTGAAACTACAATCAAACTGACGAAGAACGCAATCATACAAAGAGTAAAGGCAGACATTTTGAATTATTAATTTGGGTCACATGTCGCCTGCCATCTTGATAAGTTTATAATGGATAGCAACTCCGGTATTTTATCGTCGATCACATGACTTCGATAGGTAGCTTATCTGGAATCTGATTAAACACAACGAATCTTCGTATCTAGATTTGAATGTGACTAATAATGACATGGATTAGAATTTAGACAACACCCAATCTTACACCATCACATATTCTTATTTACATGACAGCATCTAGTCGGTTGGATGGCCCGTATAATGACGTTGATAGTTGAAGTTCAATAACTACACTCCGGGCAAACTATCCCTCATAATACTCCGTATTCCTGTCCTGACAAACTATCCCTCATAGCACTGCCCGGACAAACTATCCCTTATAACACGCTGTGTGGCTGTCCGGACAAACTATCTCTCATAGCAGTCTGTATGGCTGTCCGAGCAAACTATCCCTCATAGCACTATGTATGACTGTCCGGGGAAACTATCCCGAATAGCATCTGTATGGCTGTCCGGACAAACTATCCCTCATAGCACTCTGTATAACTGTCCGTGTTAACTATCCCTCATAGCACCCTGTATGGCTGTCCGGTAGTTGTTTAAAAAAAAAGGACGTTAAACCCCATTTTATGTAGTCAACAAGTAAAGAGTACCGATTACAACGTCCACGGTAAAAATATCGGCTTGCGTCGAGAACATCCTTGAATTATTCATACCCAACATTCATTTATATAAGACGACTGACCTAGTACATCGGAAGGGTGAAATATCCGAGGTTTCATCCGATTGTCAAACCCTGGAAAATTCTCTTGTCAATTTGTTAGACTGAATTTTAGAAAAGTTATGGGATTCTTCGACTACACGTGGGTAACGGTGGATTTACTATGATGCTAATGAGGGGTGGTCACAGAAGCGAATTTAGTCGACAATGCTTAAAAGTTTTAGGTTTATTCAGAATAGGGGAGTTAAGTTCCCATAGCTGGATGTCCTGGTACTATTCAAGGACATAGAAATCAAGTACCTATTAAATAGGACAGGTGTAGAGTTTTGTATTTTAAATTCATTTTCTTCTTCTGCCATGGAATAAACCGACATAAGTCTATAGCAGTGGTTAATCAGATATCTTGTTTCAATGGCATGGAGTATACAGGTCACAATTCTATGGAATGCAATTACTGCTTATTACTAAGCGACGTTTCGACTAGGTTTTTCTAAACGTTGCTCAATAATAAACAGTAAAAGGAATTCCATAGAATGTCACCTGTATAATCAGATATCGTTGCTGGGTGTAACGCCCACGATAACAGACGAAGTTTTAAGGCCCCAACAATATAGACCAGCAACTAATAATGTTGTAGAAAGGTATTCACTTTTATGATAAAATGAAATTACTTTGGTAACTTTGTTGGTGATTTTTGATCCAGAGATTATTTGCCCTCTTAACCAGAAGCACGAATCAGCGGTCACGTGACCTATAATATACTGCCAGTGGTATACAAGGGATCTAAGGTTTTTATCGAATCCAAACGTCCAATCGCCTTTCTGTAGCAGACCCTCCGTACCGAACGTCCAGTCGGCTTTCGATAGCAGACACTCCGTACTGCACCATTGATAAGCAAACTAGGTCATTTTAGGAATAACATATGGTTCAATTTTATTTCAACAATTCGCATGTGCGTAGGGATTTATAGCAGTGGGAGGAAACCGGAGGACCCAGAGAAAACCCACGAGGTTGGACAGGCGACCTTACTTCTTGTCACGTACAACCGGGGAATCGAAACCACGCCAGTTGACTCAATGGCAGACCTTTATGATACAGAGCACACGTGCTAACCATTCGCCCCCCCCCCCCACACACACACTATTGATATGCGAGAGGCATGCTCACCGATTCACCATCAGCTCCATTTATATTGATTTAATATTAAAGATTTTTCATAAAATACTATAAACTATATCTTTGGATATATCTTTTGTTTTATTGTCATATCTTATTTACAAAGTCGGGAGGCACGGTGGCTCGGTGGTTAAGACGCTGGCTCGCTAGCCTGGAGGTCTGGTGTTCGATCCCTGCATTAGCCGAGAAAGTTCATCTGGATTTTCCGACGTGGTTTCCCACTTGTCACTGGTGCAGAACAGAGGGCCTGACAATCGAGATCCCGTGTATACATTGGAATGCACGTAAAAGATCCCTTGGTAGTTGGAATTCGATATAAGAGTAGGCGATAGTGCCGCTGCCCTGGCAAAATTTCCCTCATAGCACACTGTATGGCGTATGCCCGTCTTCATTAGCCCAGTATAGGAGTAGGACAGTATGACGTTAAACCTCATTTCATTTTATTTTATTTACAAAGTCATAGTCCAACGTCTTCATAAAATTCTACCAAAAATACTAGTTGAATAAAAAGTAATGTTTTTATTTACAAAACAAAACAAAGTAAGACGAGCTTATAAACTGATGAGGAAAATGTAAAAGATGCGCGAAATGAGATAAATACACGCACATATAAATGATGCCCATGCGAACTAATGGTGTCTCTCAAAAGTACCGTTGTCTATCAGAGAGACTGATGTCTAACAGAGAGTCTGATGTCTATCAGAGTCTGATGTCTACTGTTGTCTATCAGAGAGACTGTTGTCTATCAGAGCGACCGTTGTCTATCAGAAAGACTGTTGTCCAGCAGAGAGACTGTTGTCTATCAGGGAGTCTGTTGTCTATCAGAGAGACTGTTGTCTATCAGAGAGACTGTTGTCTATCAGGGAGTCTGTTGTCTATCAGAGAGACTGTTGTCTATCAGGGAGTCTGTTGTCTATCAGAGAGACTGTTGTCTATCAGGGAGTCTGTTGTCTATCAGAGAGACTGTTGTCTATCAGAGAGACTGTTGTCCATCAGAGAGACTGTTAGATATCAGGGCGTCTGTTGTCTATCAGGGCGTCTGATGTCTAGGCATTGACGTCTATAGTTTTAAAACAATTAGAAAAGTGTGTGTGTGTGTAAACGACTAGTGTCGCGTTATACTTCCGGTAACTGGTGTGTATTTTGGTAACTGGTATATATTTTGGTAACTGGTGTGTATTTTGGTAACTGGTGTGTATTTTGGTAACGTGTGTATTTTGCTAATTTCGTGACTAGCGTGTGTTTTGTTGACTGGTGTGTATGATGTGTAACTGTGGATGGGTTTTTTTAGGGGTAAAATTAACCAGAATGATATAAAAATTATAGGATAAATATTTAAAAAAAGAATCTATACGAAAATGGAATGGAATTTACTTAATAGATATTGTTGCTTGTTGAAAGCCAGTGTCCTTGGAAGATTTCACAAAAATCGGGGTTGGGGTGTAGCCCTTATTAACGCACACTGCCATATCTAATTTTCCTAAACACAATCACCACGACAACAAGAACGATAACTCCGGCAACTGATCCGACTACAACACCAGATATCGCTGCCGTGGTCCAAAACCCGATACATTCACTATCTGACTCGTCCGATCCGTCACGACAGTTGTTATAATCATCACACAGTACATCTCGATCAACGCACGCCTGGTTGTCGCACAAGAATCCACCATAATCTTCATAACAAGCACCTGTAAGTAGAAAACATTAAATAATGGGTTGAAAGTCCACTCGACAAAAACTAGCTCATTTCATAGTTAACAGACTGTTCCATTTTATTTCAATAATTAGCTTGTGCGTTCGCTCTTTAGCTGTTGAGGGAAACCTGGGGACACTGCGAAAACCCACGAGGTTGTACAGGCGACCCTACTCCTTGTCACGTACAAGCGGGGGATCGAAACCACGCCAGTTGACTCAATGACAAAACTGACGATCTAAAGAACAGGCTTTAAACCATTCGTTCCTTCGTCCTGATCGACATAGACATTAGTAGCTTAATGTCAATATTAATAGCCTGGGCCAGGAAATAGTATAGGCCAAATAATGGTTAAAATGAACGAATCCTGATGTCATTCTAATGTTCACACTAATTTCTACTGATTTCACACGGCGGGTACGGCCTTTTGTAATTTCTTGCATCCTATTTTGTATTTAAAGTTTAAAGTCTGTCTGATAGTGATTTTCGAAATTTAAATAATTATTAAAGACAAATCTAAAATGAATACCAGTTATTAAATTAGAATTCAGTTCTATTCAGTACTTACATGTGATGATTTAAAAAAAAAAAATAACGTTCAGCATTCTCTACATTCGATATTTAGGAAAAAGTCAACACAAACCAGCGCCACTTATAATTTGGCCTGACATCTTTTGATGAGCCTCTTTTTAATTCGACTGGATAAAAACCAGAAGAAAATTTATCGTTGATATTTTGATTATTGTTTTCTTAATTAAAGAGACATTATGCAAGATTTAGATAAAGAGCTGACCGTTGTTGCATCACTAGTTCCAAAAAAGATAATTTAAAATTAATATATTGAAAATTTCATTCAAATTACTTTATTCTAAGCCAAGTTATTACTGTTTGAAGTTTTGACAAGATGTAGCAAATATTGTTTATTACCGTAGCAATGTTACTTGTTAATCGAGATGTAGTCTCGCTTATCAACTTTTAAATGAAATCACTAAATAACAATCGCATATCGATCGGTTTAAATCTCTGCCATCCCATATTCTAGAGCGTTGATAGGCTCGGCATGTGAATACATGTCTAAATAAAAATTTATATAACATTTGATGCCAAAATAAAAACCTGTAATAGGTAGATTTAGCTTTAAATGTATGTGAACTAATCCATTTGAGTAATTTATAGCGTGGATTTAGCAGATAAATAAAAAAATTATCAAGAAAATGTAATCTTTATTACACTAGGATCTGGGGGGAGGGGAATGACCGAATAGTTAGCACGCGCGCGCTGTATCATACGGTCTGTCATTGAGTCAACTGGCGGGGTTTCAATTCCCCGGTTGTACGTGCCAAGGAGTAAGGTCGCCTGTCCAACTTCGTGGGTTTTCTCTGGGTCCTCCCACTGCTAAATACCCCTATGTGTAAGCGAATTATTGAAATTAAATTGAACCATGTGTTAGTCCCATAAATGATCTAATTTGTGCCGGGTGGACGTTAAACCCCATTTCTCTCTCTCACACTGGAAGAGGTGTAACGTAACCCGCGTTCTGGATGATATGAGGGATTAGCCAATGACGCGGTCTGTTAAGGCGAGTTTTTGGCGTGAGGGGCAAGGATCTGTGGGTAACCCACCAGAAAGATCAACACGGATTGGTTAATCAAATGTCTGACGTCATAGGGTCAAAAGCCACTATAACCGGTCAGATCTTCATAGTGTAGGCCATTGACAGTATAAGAGAAACGAAACGAAATACAAGTGTATAGACCTGTATTTTAATCGTATTGGGAAATGATAACGAAGATCAACTTGTGAATCTTACTTCACAAGTTACTTACCCTTATCTATTTTTGTGGCTAATATTTCAAATGAAGCTGTGTACATTTGCGGATAGATTTTGTGAAATTTTAATGTTATTGTTTCTTCCGTGGATCGGTAAATTTGTTCTGGAATTTCGTCACCACAAATAGAATCCCCACCTGAAAGAAATTAAAGTGATTTAAAGTTTCTACAAATCTTCCAAGGGTCATCTTCAAGGTTTTGTTTTTAATTTACGCTGGTTGCTCATTTTGGCCAGATAAGATAAATAAAATAAATATTTGTCAGATGATTAAATAAAACATGGAATATGTTCGCTCCCGTACAACCAATTGAAAGAAAGTTGCAATATGATATTTAAGAGATGACGTCAGGTAACCGGAAGTGCAGAGATGACGTCAGATAACCGGAAGAGAGCAAAATTAACGCCAAGTAGTCGGAAATGCAGATAAGTAGCCGGAAATGCAGTGATTCAGAAAGGACTTCCAACTTCGAATTCTCGCTGTCAACGGCAGTTTTTCCCTTATTTAAGGTAATTAATTAAATCATACGTCTAGATAAACTTACTTGCTGAAGCTAATTTATCATCATAATCACCCAGTTGTAGAATCTCTACCGAGCCTTGTTCACATGCTATATTTAACCCAAGGAAAGATAACTCTATGTTGATCTTATCTTGATAAATATAATAATCAGAAAAAGCTTGTATATGGACTTCACAATCTTCTGGCATTTTCATGACCATATATGGTTCTAGTATAAACCTGACAGCATTTTTTACTATGACCAATTCTCCACATAGTGTGTTCATGTATTCTGTAATATATCAAAAAAAGAAAAAAAGAGAATTCTCTACAATAACTTCAATGGTGTATTCTGTAATATATATATATATATATACAAAACAAAAACAAAACTCTACAATAACTTCAAAGGGGGGAGAGAGGGGGGGGGATGTGGTTTAACGTCCACTCGACACAAACTAGGTCATTTCGGGACTAACATGGTTTAATTTTATTTCAATAAAACGCAAGTTGACTCAATGACAGGCATTATGATACAGCGCGCACGCGCTAACCATTCGGTCATCGAACCCCACTAACTTCAAAGGTGTATTGCTCTAATATTCGATATTAAAAACACGGATTAGAATTTAATATTGTTCCATTTCAATTTATATTGATGACGGTATCTTACCGTGAAAGTGTGGGCTCAATTCCCGTGCCATTTGTAATGTGAACACTTGGTGAACAAAGCAAGACATGTCCCACAGGTCAATGCGGAAGTAATTATAAATAGTTGATCCACAAACAAAAGGTGTGATGTGGAAATCGCAGTGTGTGATGTGGGCTTTAGAACGAAACGACACAGACTAAGACGAATGACATTGAACGATTTCATGGAGTACCTATTAAGTGAACTGTGCACTTATAAATACGATGTATTTCGTAATCACCCTGTAACTATCAAGCAATCTAAGATAATGCCCGCTTGATAAAAAATGAAATGAAATGGGGTTTAACGTCCTACTGTTCTGCTGCGACTGTGCTAATGAAGACGGGCATACGCCATACAGTTTGCTAGGAGGGAAAGTTTGCCCGGGCAGCCGCACTATGGTCTACTCTTATATCGAATTCCAACTGCCAAGGGATCTTTTACGTGCATGCCAATGTATACATGGAACCTCAGTTTTCCATACCATCCGAACGACTAGACAGCTTTCCTTGTCAGGCCCTCCGTCCTGCACCACTGACAAGAGGGTGTTTTATCCAGTTGAACCTCGCGATAAGATACAGTACAGTTGAACCTCGAGGTAAATAGGTAGAATGAAGAGGGTGTAGTCCAGCTGAACCTCGAGTTATGATGCAGTACAGCTGAAACTCGAGATAGGATGCAGTCCAACTGAACCTCGAGATACGGTGGGGGGGGGGGGTGAAGAGGTTGTACTACAGTTCACCCGCCCAACCCCACCCTAACCGATTATCCCCTCAGTACAAGCTATCATATATTAAGTATCTCGTCTACCACAAATTCAACCAACGATATCACATGAATAATAATATGCCCCTTTATATTGTGCTAAAATCCACAAAACGTGGTCATGTTTAGCGTCAGTACTAATATTAAGGTAAAATATTAATACAAATTACCCCCCTTACATTAATTCTACTTACTCACTTCCCTGGAATCAGGAACAACTCCATTTAAACAAAACAACAAGGCAAAAAGTTGTAACAAATACACAGTCGCCATGTCTGATTCATTGAATGTCCCATATTTACATTGGATTATCTTATCATTGTCACGTGATCCTATCTTAACCGTCCACATTATATTTAAATTATCAAATTAATATAGATATACTTGCAGGGCCGGTTTGGAGCATATTTGACCAATTTCGCAAATCGGGCCCCGCACTAGAAAGGGGTCCCATAGCTCTCGAACTTAAATATTTTTCAGGAAATCTGACAACAGGACTGACAGGTGTGGCTATTTTCAGGTATTAATCAATTACTAATTTTGAAGTAAAGCATAGTTTTAAATATGAATGAATATAGGCCTAATTATCCAGCAATGTATTCATATCCTGTAACTTCGGGCCTCCCAAATTTGGTCCATCAGATTATACAACCAGCCCTGTATACTCATCTGGTTGATTGACTGACTAGCGATATCCAAGCGTTCATGTAGTATAGTGATTGCTGTCCAACACGCGGTTTCGATTCCCTGCTTAGCTTTGCTTAGCTTTAGCGCGATATGTGAGTCATTGAACTCAGTCAAGACATTCACGTAATGAACATCAACATCAAGTTTAAACAGTCTTCCTCTATTAAAAGCAGGGTTGTTATGTTCCAAAGTCTTGACCAATCAAATTGCTTATCGATCCTTAGCCTAAGCAGAAAATTATCATCATAGAACTTAGTCAAGGTAATGATATAATGAATCTATATTTGCAGTTTCAATGCTCTCACTTCATTATAACGAAAGTTATCGTGCCCCAAAGCATCAACCAATCAGATTGCTTATTGTGTTCCAAAGTCTCGACCAATTAAATTGCTTATCGCTCTGCTTACCTTGAGCAGAAAATGTTCATTATCGAACTTAGTCAAGGTATTGACGTGATGAAACTATACACCAAGTTTGATCACTCTCACTTAATCAGAAGTAAAGTTATCGTGCCCCAAAGCATCAGCCAATCAAATTGCTGATCTATGTTTACCCTAAACAGAAAATTCTTATCTTCGGACCCCATCAAGGCATTCACCTTATAAACAACTACACCAAGTTTGAACATTCTATCTCAATAAGGAGGAGAGTTATTGTGCCCCAAAAAGTGTGACAGAAAGACAAATGGACAAACAGGGGGACATAGATACGGAGAGACAGACAGACGGACGGACAAACTCATTTTAATAGTCCCCTGCTCTCTTTGAAAGGCGGGGGTGGGGCCAATAACTGCTTCCTATCTCAATTCAAGGGAGATAAATCTTATATTCCACCATTAATATTTTACTTGTGTAGTTCATTCAAATTCAGTTGTGCTTTGCCAGTCCTTTCTTGCATTAGTCTATTTATGTTCCTGCTATAATCGACTGATTGTTGTGGGATAGTGACCAAACTGTTGTGCAATCTGTCTCATTGCCAAACAGCATTCCTGATTCCAATAACTTGCCAACCGTTTGATGTGAGAGAGAGAGAAATGGGGTTTAACGTCCACTCGACACAAACTAGGTCATTTCGGGACTAACATATGGTTTAATTTTATTTCAATAATTCGCTTGTGCGTAGGGGTCTTTAGCAGTGGGAGGAAACCGGAGGACCCGGAGAAAACCCACGAGGTTGGACAGGCGACCCTACTCCTTGTCACGTACAACTGGGGAATCGAAACCCCGCCAGTTGACTCACTGACAGACCGTATGATACAGCGCGCGCGTGCTAACCATTCGGCCATTCAAACCCCCAAACCAACCGGTTGATGTAGTCAGATGCCTAATTAGCATCGTGATATACAGACAGTGTACACATTGAATTTAAAACAGAGAGAGAGAGAGAGAGAGAGAGAAATGGGGTTTAAAGTCCACTCGACACAAACTAGGTCATTTCGGGACTAACATATGGTTTAATTTTTTTTTCTATAATTCGTAGGGGAAACTGGAGGACCCAGAGAAAACCCACGAGGTGGAACAGGCGACCCTACTCCTTGTCACGTACAACAGGGGATTCGATGATTTATAACAACCATAGGACCAAAGTCATTAAGAAAAATCATGTTACCGACTTTTACTAAGAAACGCACCTTGACTTTTAAGAAAGGCCATTTTCCGGAAATTTGGCCAGTCTATAACAACAACCGACCATGTCGAACGAAGATTTGCACCATCTTATAATACGTGTTATCTACATATTAGTTTCATTTGGCTCACTTTAATCCCGATGTTCTCCGAAATATTCCAATGGGATTTTCCAGTGTGGTGTCCATTGTCAGTGATGCAAGACGGGGTGGGTGGGGGTGTGGCTGAAAAAGAAAAACATCTAGTTGTTCGGATGGGAGTAAAACCCGAGGTCCCGCGTACAGGTACCTGCCTTCATTCGTCTCTTTCATTTCCCCGGTTGTCACAGAAAAGTATGACGCCAAGAACACAAACCACAATTCGTTCATTCATTTAAGGACACGTGATTAATATACAATTCTAGAACAGCAACCGTCTATGTCGAACGAAGATTATGTACGATTGTATTATCAAGACGAAAATTTGCACCATCTTATAAAATACGTATTTAATTTTAATGTCGATCAAATGTAAATTGTGGCCTACATTACTTTTAAATTGTAGTCTAATTATGAAGGGATTTTGTTGGGTAGTTTGTCTATAGTAGGCCTATAGAGATATATCTATGACATTCTTTTATATTAAATAACTGAATCAATCCTTTAGTTACAGCTAGCTTGGTTCAAGTAGGTTTTATCGGCTTGTTTGTTTACATCCAATTGCGTCAGCTAATAACAGCCACGTGACTGCTAATAATAGAGTTGTCACGCGGTGTGTGTTATCACAAACCAATCCGATCGCTGTATTTCTGCTGGGTAAACATGTTTTATACATAGCAACATGACGTCACGGTGGATATAAAAGAGATCGACATCTCGCGATCATTGGAACAACACTCTGTGAGAACGAGAGCAAAACAACCCATTCCCGGACGGTTACCTGGTCTACACCGTGGATAAAATGGCCGACTGGAAATGGGTGTTGTCGTCTATTCCGCAAGAACTTCCTTCGGATTTACAAAGCTTACTTCGTTTCTTTCCGGGGCTTTCTAACTCTGGAAAACTTCACGGAACAGTCTGACTGGGCCCGGTCTGAGGTAATACGTCTGTAGCGCCCCCGCCATCGCTGATTTCAGTGCTATGGGGGTAGACGTGTTAACCAAGGACCTCACTTGGATTGACTAAGACTAGAACAGTTATATATTTTAAACAGGTGTTCAGCTTTGTTAATTAACGTGAGGTCTCTGGCTTTAATCTACAATAATCTACTTAAGGTGAGTTTTTATTTAGTTAAAAGTTGAAATCAGTTGTGTTTATATGAGAACAACCTTGTATCGTCTGATCAGATCGATAAACAGACCGATCAGATCGATAAACAGACTGATCAGATCAATAAACAGACCGATCAGATAGATAAATAGACGTGTTTCAGTCGAATAACGGTAAATTGAGGTGATTGATTAGGGGTAATATTATTATAATTTAAGCATGTTGACTATTATACTACGTGTGGTATACGCCAGTAAGCATACATATAGACTAGCCGTGTATGTAGAATCTGTCTTGATAGTGTACAGTAACTATGTATACATAGACTAGCAGTATAATATCTATATGTCGATATTGTGCCCTGTTAAAATTGAAATGAAATGAGGTTTAACGTCCCGCTGTTCTGCCCCTAACTGAGCTAATGAAGACGGGCATACGCCGTACAGTGTGCCATGAGGGAAATTTTGCCCGGGCAGCGACAGTACGACCTACTCTTATATCGAATTCCAACTGTGAAGGGATCTTTTACGTGCAAGCCAATGTATGCACGGGACTCGCTTTTTCGTTCCATCCGATCGACTAGACAGCTGTCCTTGTGAGGCCCACCGTCTTGCATCACCGACAAGGTCCTGTTAGAAATATTTAGTATATTATATTGCACACACTTAACCTATAATATGAAGCGATATTGCTGACAAAAATATAAGTCTCTATAAAGTATTTTGTTAGTAAAATGACGAAGGGGAGGGGGTAGGGGAAGGATATATAATAGGCTTTGATACACCATGATAAGATGAAAATAAAGCAGTAAGAGGGGGGGGGGGGGTCTGATTAGTTTAACACGAGGAATAGGGTAAGTGGGTTGTTGTTTTCTTGTAAGAAAATCACGAAAAGATCTATAATGAACAGAGTTAGATGTCAATAGTATGTATAAGTTGAACAGATGTTAACAAGGTAAGTATAAATATATAAGTTGAACAGAGTTAGATGTCAATAGTATGTATAAGTTGAACAGATGTCAATAAGGTAAGTATAAATATATAAGTTGAACAGAGTTAGATGTCAGATTTTTAATTGAGAAGGTAAGAAACGGAGTAAGCTTGAAATCTGGATGGTAAATTCTATATCGGTGTACAGGACAACATCCATGTCTAGTTACCAACCCCGGCAAGATATTTTTCTTCGTTACAGATGTTTCCGTTCCTGTAGTTGTTTCCGTTTTATAAATGTATTCAAAAAGACGACGTAGATGTTTTATTTGTATATATTTTAGATATGAATTTCTTTTAAAATAAAACATATTTAAAATAAAATAAATCTCTGTGATTTGTTTAAATGGCAGCTGTGTAATGAAATGAAATGAAATGGGGTTTTGACGTCCTACTGTTCTGCTCCTATGCTGGGCTAATGAAGACGGGCATACGCCATAGAGTATGCTATGACGGAAATTTTGCCCGGGCAGCGGCACTATCGCCTACTCTTATATCGAATTCCAACTGTCAAGGGATCTTTTACGTGCATTCCAATGTATACACGGGGCCTCGGTTTTTCATATCATCCGAAGGACTAGACAGCTGTCCTTGTCAGGCCCTCCGTCCTGCATCACTGACAAGGGGGAACCACGCCGGAAAATCTGGATGAACTTTCTCGGCCAATGCCGGGATCGAACACCCGACATCCAGGCTAGCGAGCCAGCGTCTTACCCACTTAGCCACGTGATCCCCCTCCTGTACTGTGTGGTTGTACAAATAATGTTATATCGATATCCAGAAGATATAGTGTTCATACCCTCTCCCTTATCCAATCTGATTAAAACAGATCAACTTTCGTTTCGTTTTTTATAGTTCAAAATTTCGTTTAACTATACAGTACGCTATAGGAGTTATTTTGCCCAGATAGCGGCACTACTACTTACTCTTATATCGAATTCCATCCTTCAACTGCATCTTTTAAGTGCAAACGAGACCTGGGTTTTTCGTCATATCCAAACACCTAGACATTTTCTTGCATTAAGGCTAGAGGAACTGGCACTGGAAAACTCGAGGAATTTGCTAGGCCAGTACCTAGACCTCTTGGATAGCGAGGGAGCGTTTTACTGGTGTAAAGCTATTCGAACGAGTAGCCACACTTTCCTTATCAGTCTTACAGGTGTTACCCAGGACATGGTTCTTCTCGTGACATCCTTGTCAATAGAGAGAGAGAGAGATGGTGTTTAACGTCCACACGACACAAACTAGGTCATTTCGGGACTAACATATGGTCCAATTTTATTTCCATAATTCGGTTGCGCGTAGGGGTCTTTAGCAGGGGGAGGAAACCGGGGGACCCGGAGAAAACCCACGAGGTTGGACAGGCGACCCTAGTCCTTGTCACGTTCAGCCGGGGAATCGAAACCACACCAGTTGACTCAATGACAGACTTTATGATACAGCGCGCACGTGCTAACCATTCAGCCATCCATCCCCCCTCCTTGTCAATATAATTCAACGGCCTGACAGTTCCATTATCACGGCCATTGTTCCAAAACGCTGTGGCATTTCCAGACTATCATAAAATATATATCTTTTAACGCGCATGCCCGTAACAGATCCTAGCTAAAACCCACGGGAATAATTCTTGTGGAATAATTTTGACTCATTTTAGTAGTCATGAAAGGTTTAATTTCTACAAGAAATTGGCGTGGGGGGGGGGGGGGAATCTGGAGATTTTCTGTGAATATTCCAGAGTTTTAGACGAATTTTTGTGAAATCACAATACTGTTCACTTGATCTCGCCTTTCTAAGGCTGAATAAGCCAAAATTGGGCATTAATTGGGCATTACTCTTAGAAATGAAATACAAGCTGACATTTTCAGTACAATCACATTTTTCCTCCAAACTTTTATTTATTTTTTTTTAAATTGAACTTGTTTTAATTTTCTTTCGTCAAGATATCTTATATATATTTTCTGAGAATTTAGTCTTCATATCTTCAAAAGTAAGACACATCAGTCACACACAGACAGGTCACAGATCACCAGTGATTTCCCCACTGACTTTAATGTCAAGTCTCGCCTCTTAGACCGGCTCTAACTTTTTCCAAAATTTTCGTTGAGTTGACTGCTTTCTCCCATAGATGGAGCAACATGTGCCAACCTCTTGCTCAAAAGCAGGTATGAGGTTCATCATGGAAAACTTGAGATACACAAACTGGAAATAGAGACCAGTAAAATTTCCGCCCTACATTTCAACCTGGCCATTTTCTGTCAAGTTTTGGTAAATATTCATGATTTAGAGGCGGAAGGAGAACAGAGTTAACATGTTGGT